GGTGGATCTAGGTAGTCAGTACGCCAAAGTTACGCGTGTAGGAACACAGGGGAGAGATGAATATAGCCAATGGGTAATCAAATACAAGCTGCAGTCTGGTAATGATGAAGCTGAACTTCACTTTTATAAGGAAAGAGGAGCAAATATAGACAAGGTTAAGTAATTTAATGTATTGAAATTCTCTTTAATTTACAAAACAATCGGGCAGCCTACTTGTTGGTTTGCCTCCTTACGTATTCCAATATTCATTCGTTATTACCTAATTCAAAATTTCTATTTATTCTCTATAGCAAATTAAACCACACAAATAATGATAATGAAGTGTAACTCAAAAATCTATGAACAACGACAAGGTTTCATTTCGTAAACAGCATAAAATTAAAAGACGACAAAACTTCGAGACAGATATCGGGGAAACAAAAATCGTTCATCTGTTTAAATGACCTCCTATCAAGTCGCAGACTCAAAAGTATGTTTAGAGGAACATATCATATCCTTGGGTTATTAACACTTTTCCAATTCTCTCCCCCAGGAGTTTGATGGTAACTCAGATAGAAGCACTATCGTTTTCCATGAACTAGAGCCACCCATAAAAGCACGCTTCGTTCGCTTTCGACCTCAAGATTGGTTTAACCACGTGTCAATGAGGATAGAGCTTTACGGCTGTCGAGGTAAGAATGGAAGACAAGGTTCCTAACTATTAAACGAAACAATTCAATCGATATGCATTATGCTGACGATAAATGAAACCCAGTATTGATTATCAACCCGACTTCATCGTGCATCATTTGATTATGGAGAAGAAAGTTATGTGCATTGCTTTCATTCACTATCGAGATACAATCGACTTCATATCATTTTGTAGTACAATTTAATCATGTACCGTGATCTACTGAAAATAATAATTTTTACTTTTGCTCAAATATTTCGTTAAACGTTTAGAATGTCAGGAACCTCTCGGTTTGGGAAATAGTTCAATAACAGACGGGCAATTAAGTTCTT